CGGGTGTGTTGTAAAGCGGGCTCGCGCTGAACTGCTCTCCCGGAGCGACCAGTGTCATGAGCCCGAGCGGTCTGCATCCAACGCACCCGTCCTCTCTCCGGATCGTGCAGTATTGATCACTCGAAGTCGCTGCTGTTCCCCAACAGCTCGGCTGCACGCCACACTGATCCCTAGGACAGACCTCTTCATCGTAAAATGGGACGTGCCAGCCCCGGCCTGCGGTGGGGCAGGTGGCGCTGGCCCTCGATGGTGGCGCTGGCCCTCAATGGTCGGATCCAGCGGAAGGAGGTGGGATGACTGGTCTCCCCGGTAAACCAAAAGTCATTGCGACCATCCCATCCACCGCAGCAAGTCAGACCTTCCCCCAGTTTGAGTCGGCGTCCCGCTGCCCCTCGGTCGCACGCAGCTCTGTGTTCTCCAGCACACCATCAAATGCCACTGCACCAGCTGTGAAGGTGTCAGAAAGGAGATGCCGAGCAAAGGGTCGGGGCCGCATTTGGGGATTCAAGGAACACGGTGCAAACACAACCGAAGTAGAAACAAGCTCTCTCCAGAAGCGTGGCAGAAACCTACCGAGCAGAGTCAGCCCAGCCCTGTTGTTGGCGTCATCCTCGGATGGGCACTTTAGGTACCTCTCCATATTTAGGCTGCTCCCTTGTCATAAGGGCGTGCTTCTTAAAAAGAATACAGCTGTTCAAAGAGCAAATGCACCTTCCTTAGTGCTGTCAATTCAGTCACTTGCTCCCTAATTTGAGGCCTCTATCAAAGCATAGAAAAAGAAATAGTAATCCTTGAAGAAATCTCAAAAGAGATTCACTGAACTGGAGCACTTCCTTGATAGTCAACATCAAGTTACATACAGCCTGTGCAGCGAGAGAAGTTTCGACTTCTGGGGCTGTGGACAAATGTAACGCTGAACTGTTTCAAAAGGGTGGGTACTTGGAGCGTACATCAGCCAATTCAATGCAGCTGTTTCATCCATCCATTCCTAGTCCCTGGTAAGTGAAGCTAATCATAATGCCCTGAATGAAACAGGTAATCAAATATTGTGGCTTCGCTTCCACTTACTTGGGAAAGAGCAGACAGATTGAACAGTTATAGTGGATCAGTTGTAAAGTGTTATAATTTGAATGTGTTTTCAGTGTCCACACAGCCTGCATATTACAAATGTAGTAGGTAGCAGACACCTCCAAGGCCCCAGTTATACAATTTTATCTGCATAACCACGTGCCAATAGAGTCCCACTGAATTTAAACAGGCTTTGTAGTGCCAAAGATGCAATTACAGAACATGGACCCAAATTTGGAACAAATTACCAAAATATATACAAGTCATTTTGGTTGTTACCACCCCCTCCTCCATCCCTGCACCTCCAGGAAGCAGCTGGCCACAAAACTGAACTTATAAATACAACTATTATCTCTACCAAAGTTTCTGCATTGCAGCTCAACTTGAAACTACTGCGAAAGGTGGTCTAATATGTGATTACTGGTTTTACATATTTTGAGAAAAAATTAAAAAAGAGGTTGGTTTTGTTTTTTAGGGGGGTTTTCCTGTGACCCTTAAATCCAGCTGCAAGGCTAGGGTCAACTACAAAGCCAGTGTTAATTTGGCTGAGCAAAATGCAGTGAGGAACCAATTTGCTATCAGCTTCCCTCTCACAGCTTGATTAGCTGCTTTACAACAAACAACAAACTAGAGCCACAGCAAACAGTTAGCCTGTACATTACACTTGCCAAATATTTCCTCTCCTGTATGGTGCTCACAGATCCCAGAGCTGTTTGAATAGGACAGCAATAAGCACTTGCAAAATTTAGCTAAAATATTCCACATGCCTCTCAGAGGTCCCTAATCTAGTTGTTTTCCCAGACAACGTACTTTAGAGCTTTACAACTAATTCGGTTTTATCAGCTGTGCAGCGTTAACCCCAAGGAAGGGGGAAGTACAGACATTCTTTGGCAGGATTGTAGCTATTAAGAGCTCTGTAACATGGACAGAATGAATGGTTTGTCAGCCAGAAGTCCAGTATATATATATTTTATATATGTCTGAAATGGGACCTTTACCTATTGTAAACTTTTATTACCACAGCATTGAAAGAAACTGTCCTGCTGATTGTACCCTATGGTGGACAAAGTGGTACACAAAACAGCATCTGAGCTCAGTCACGACACAACTCCTGTCTGTGTAATGGGGAAGATCATTACTGTCCTCTGACACTTACAGAGGACAAATACTCTGTGTCCAACTTGACACACAAACATGGGCAAAATCAGCTTGTGCCCCATCCAGCACCTGCTTCTATGCAGAGGGACCGGTCTTCTGATATACTTCCAAGGCACTAACACCATGTGCCCTTGCTCTGCCTATCACACAGCCAGGCTATTCTGTCTCCACCAGCGCCCTAGCATTTCCAGCAGCCAGAACCCGGCACCACCCAGCCCAGTATAAACAGGCTCCTAACTCATGCCTCCCCTCGTCTGAGCTATAACTTACCTCCCGGAACCCTTCTGCCAACCTTCGCTGGGGTATCCAGAGCAGTAAGTCTTTGTTTTTTAGTGCTCGATTAATGCCTTGCTCAGCTCCACAACAGAGCAGCCCTCCAGTGCCAGGCCTTGAACATCTCCGCACAGAGCATGTCTCTGAGGAGCACACTGGGAAGTGTAGTCCCTAGCCTATCCTGAATCATTACAAGGGAAGCATGAGTTGACTAGAGAGCAGTCTGGGAAATGTAGTTCTTCTGGGTCAAGATGAACAGGTCTTCCCAGCCTCCCTTGAGTTACTAGAAAATTGACTTTATTGTGCAATTAAAATTAATAATGATGGATGATATTTTCAAAGTACAAATATCCCCTTCTAAAGGCTGTTGCCAAACACCCTATTAACCTGATTTGGAGGTCAACATTTAAACTGTAATAGTAGACTAGTAGAAATGTTGACAGGTTTTGATTTACTTAAAATGGAAGTAACTGTTTTTAAACAAGTAGTCCTTTCCAGCTCATGTTGCAGTACCCAGAACCTGTCAATGAAACTAATTCTAAACAGAAAAGTGAAACAGCCTGTCGGCTTCCACTGTCTAAGCAGAAAAACATACAACAAGTAAATAGACAGCACAAATGGAAAACACATGGTGGGTTTTTCAAATGGTTTAACTTCTGATCAGGCATGGCTATCCAGCTTCTGAGCAGCCAGGGGCCACACAGAGTGCCAGCCACAGTGCCAGGGACCACTTGCCACACATGTGGCCACCCCATCTTCGGCTCTCTCCTACCACAAGGGCAGCCCAATGCACCCCTTGCCAGGCTCCCTTCCCCCCTTCCCTGGCTATGTGGGCAGCCTAGCTCACCTCCACTGCACCAGCAGCATTCCCCTTCCCTCCCAGCCCCACATGCTGCCCATCTGCAGTGCAGACAACCAGCTCCTGCCTTTGTCATGTACAGCATGGGCACCCCTCCTGCTGTGCTGCCCCACTCCCAGGGGAGGAAGTAGAAGCCAGAGGAAGGAAGGCCAGCCTGGAGAATCCAGTGGCAGGAACAACAGTAGAGGGAGAGGGGAGAGATAGTGGGCCTGACAGGAGCCAAAGACCATATGCTATTCTGTTGGGGGCCACATGTAACCCATGGGCCACCAGTTGGATAGCCCTAATTTCATGTGATGTTATTAGCATAAATTCACGAGGAAGTATGCCTCTCCCGGCTGAGACTGGCGTTTGTTACAGCCTAAGTTTTTCAATCAACAATGCCCCTCTTCAAACATAATAAATGTGGGATTGGGAAAGACAGGCTGGAGGCAAGCCAGCACTACTGACCCAGTCCCTGCCAGTGCTGCTGCCACTCCACTCCCTATGTTTGACTGCAAGGTAGGCAAAGCCCCATGCCACCAAAGTCCTCTGGTCCTATGCACTGGATCTGATGGCTCCATGGGCCAAATCCAGCATGCAGTTTGCTGATCCCCAATCTACCCCTTTGCTGTCCCCCCAGCCTCACCATCAGCCTCCAGCTGTGAGGATGTACACAGCATCCTCTGAAGGTAAGGTTTCATAGGGGCATTTGCCATAAAAACTGCTATAAACTTACCATTTTGGAGTGCAAAGAACAAGTTTTAGTGAAAGATGCCATTTACACACCTGAGGTCTTCGGAACAATCCAGTCTCACACTCTAGAGGCTTCTGCCATTGCATGAGTGACATCGCTTTCAACCTCCCAGCTTACTGTTTAGTTTCACTTTAACAGTGAGCTGCAATTTTAAATCAGGCACAAGTTGCCTAAGGCAGGCTGAGAGAGATTCTCTTCCAAGAGCTCTCAAGGAAAGCCTTGTACAAAGCTGGCTTTACCTCAGGAAGACAGAGAGCCCAGGCTAGGAAACCTAGTGATTGGCTATAGAAGGTGAAGATGCAGCCAGAAACCTGGTGCTATGGACTGTGGTTGGCAAATGTGTCTCATCTAAGTACAGTATTTGTTGTTATTCACACTTACAAGTATTTCATCCCATTTCCTGTTCAATCTACACTCCAGGTTAATGCAGAATTAATTAGAGTCTAGTCCTGCCCTTGTATTCCAGTTGAAAACACTAGATCTGATTCTTTTTCATATTGGCAAAATCCAAAGTACATCCACTGACATCTAAGGAGAAACAGTGGATAAAGACAATCTGATGTCAAAAGAAACAAAATGAAAGTATTTTGACCTAACTGTGGCGATAACATATTTGCAATTCTCAAATGCCTCTCTCTGAAGATCACAAAACATGAGTTTGGCATCCCAGGATGGAAGTACTGCTACAAATCTGTGGTAGTCAAGGACTTCGTTGTGCACAAGTGCAAAAAACTGCAGTTAGGCTGGAACAATCAAATACACAAATACTAATTCGGGAATGGTTGGGTAGACTGCCATGCTGTAGGCCAAATGTTGACTCTCTAGCTTAATATGGAATGATAATGTCATTTGACTGGAAAAGAGCACTACAGCATATCGAGTAGTCACCTGGTATGGTCTGGGTCTGTATTTCAGTAGGGTCCAGTGTGTATGTGCCACCGGGAAGGTGCCCCTGTTATGTGGCTGTCCACAGTTTCCTGCCATGACTTCATGGGATGCTTCGCTTGTTGGGAGCTGGAGCGTGCTGACAGTTGCCTTCCAAGTGTTCTACCCCAGATATTAAAGGGGCTCCTCCTTTCCTTACACCCCTGCCCTTACCACATCAGTTAAAAACAAGTGAAAAGTCACTGCTGGTGAATGAATTAGGTTGTTATTGTCACAACCCAAAGTTGTGATTTTTGTTTGTGTGCGCGCTTTGGCACCACTGAATTATTTTCCCGCTAAATTGCAGCTTCTTTGCACGGTGGAGTTTTCTGCTGCAGAGGAAAACCCCGGTGCAAGGGAGAATTTCCCGCCAATTTGTAGCTTTCTTTGCATGGTGCATTTCTTTTGCATCTAAGAAATGCTCGGTGCAAAGAGTTCCCGCCATTTGTATTTTAATTCAAGCCCCATTATTGGCTTGTGTTAAATTATGCACACGTGGCGGCTAGTGATTGGCTTGCTAGCCGTATAAAAAGCTTGAGTGGTTTCTGCCCAAGTTGGAGAACTCCTAGGAGAACCCCCACAAGGGAGGACTCCACGAACACCAGGAGGAGGAGACTTCACGCTGTGTGAAGATCTCTAAGCGCTGCGGAGCTTATCGGACCCAGTGCATTTCAAGCAGGCAACAGAGGTCTGATCAGCCTCTAGCCTCTCCCCATCGCCGAGCGCAATCCCCGACGTATCCCTCTCCCTGCGCGCCCAAGGACCCATGGAGCCTAGCAAACTTCGTGTGAGTGTATCCAGAGCTCTACCTGGGTTCGAGGCCTGCAGGTTTATCTTCCCGTCACCGAAAACCCATTGCAACGTACTCTCGTGTTTTGCATCTTCCCGTCGCCGAAACCCCCCTGCGACGCACTCTCGTGCCCTGCAGGTTCGAGTTTTGTTTTGTTTTGTTTTGCAACTGTAACTCAAGCAAGTTTTCCAGCCTACACCGCGACCATCTTCGGTGTAAGTAAATAATCTTAAATCAACCATTACGCGTCCGTGCCTAATTCTAGCGTGTCACCCGTTCTCTCCAACCCCGCGTGCCCGGGCTGCTGGCCACAGCCCGCGCAGAGCACAAAAAGGGTCTGCATATCGCTCCCGGCCCGCACATGGCAACATGGATGGGATCGGGAGGCGGCCCACACAGTTATGTGGCTGATAAATCAGGCTTGCCCTGGTTCCACCCATACAGAGCTGTCACCACTTGATGAAACCAGCTACTTCTGGCCCCCAGCTAGTTAGGGTTTGACTGGAGACTTTCATCCTTGCACAGTCTCTTGCCCACAGGCCTTTGATGGCTAGCCACAGACAGGCCTTACTCTAGGCCCACTCAAGCTTATTCCAAACAAAATCCCTCAACAAAACATAGTCCCCAATAAGTTCCTGCCTGGAGTGATACCTAGGTGGGCCTCTGGGTCCCCTCTTTGCTGACCCTCTGAATTGGTGACCCTCTGCATTGGTGTGCCTGCCCTTAGTCCAGTGCAATAGTCCTAGGGTCCCTCTCCTGCTTCACAGGACCTTCCAAGGCACGCTAGCAGCCCTAAGCCTTTGCAGGTAAGCGGCTTTAATCTTCATTACAATCAGGCCATAGCCCCTTGTCTCCCTCTAGGTCTGTAACCTTCAGTCTTCTTTTGCAGCATGCCACTGTTGCACTCACTGATGTTGTCTAATGATCCTTCGATCATCACTTGATGCTGTGGATGCTCCTCTCCACTCGTGGGAAAACTTCTGGTCCCGGACCCAGTAAAGCCCAGAAGTGCTTCGCCTCCTGGTCTGCCAGAGTTCTCCGTTCACTGCCCCTTCCCAGGGCCTGAAATCACCAACTGTGGTCTCTCTCCTCCAATCTAGAGGGAGCACCAGCTTTGAAAATGATGTGGCACCATCCTGGCCAGAGTCCTGACCTCTGCATCTCACTGTCCCCACAGCCCCATCTTCCACCTAGGCTTCCTCTTTTATTTCTTCACACAACCAGAGAGAGAGAGAGAGAAAGAGAAAGAGAGAGAGAAACATCTCAGAGTGACTGGGGAAATCCAATCCCAGGGTTGTTTTATATTATTTTTGGCCAATAGATTTTCTTTATTCAAGAAAAATATGGAGTTTGGTTGTAGAATATTGTGCCTGCTCTAGGTCTGTGCTGTGTTTAGTACTGTTTGGAGTTATCCAATAGTGTACAACTCTGATTTGACATACTGTGGCAGCAAGGATCATGCTGCTCACTCTGAAGATGTTCCAGGGACTTGGGAGAAGGGCCCCGAAGATTGTGGGGAGTGCTGGAGAGGTTGCTCCGAGCACAAATCCTTACCTTACGATGAACGAGAGGAGAGAAAACAAGATGTGGGAAGATGAAAGATGCTGATATTTGTGACTTCCTGTAAGTTCCAACTGGCTGGGCGCAGAATGGAGAATGGTTTAAAATCACACCCAGCGACAACTGCGGGAGGAAGAGAGATACAAGGGAGAGAGTCGGTTGGAGCACAGATGGGAGTAAGGTAGGGACAATGCCCCAGGAGGGGTAAAGGAGGAGAGTGAGAAACTCTCTCCTTTTGAGGCTCAGAGGAGTCTCTATACTTACCTAGACACAGAAAGAAGACGACACAATTGGTGGGACCCAGCAGATTGATGGTTGCTTCAATTCAGGAACCTGAAAAGCAAGCAAATCAACTAATCATGAGTGGTGGTGTTGTAGGACCTGGGGTCCCAGTGAAGAACCGGAGACCCACAGTCCTGCAACCCACAAAAATAAATATTAAGGATAATAGTACGGGAATAGAAACAGAGGTAGACAGCCAGCAACCTTGGTATTGCTGCATAGCCAAAAAATGGAGCAGGGTGTGAGACAAAAATACTAATCAGTCCAAAGGTCAACAGCAATTTAGAACAGCAAGTCTCTCTCCTTTTTCTTTTACAACAAGTTTTGGCAGGCAAGATAGGGTGGATGTGCTAAACAAGGCCTTAATTAGAAGATCAGCTGTGACCTAGGAACCAACACACAACATATCCGGACAGTATGTAAACAAGTGATTTAATTGGATTAACAACTCCACTTGCACATACCCAAAAATAAAGTTTAATGTTTGATGGCAACAGTCCCAATTACAGAAAGTCTGTATATGGTGGGCTGCTTTGCTCTTGGCTTCTTTTGTTCCTGAGTTAATAGGGTTCACAGCCGTTGGGGCCACAGCCTTTCTCTGCCTGCTCTGCTATTGAGGACTTCTTGGATCATCTTTGGTGGAACCTCTCCCTCAACCTTACTTCCATGGGTGGCCCTACCAGGGGTGTGAGCTCCAGACGGCATTGCTCAGGGTCATTGGAACACACAAGTCTCTCCACCACAACAAGGTGATGATCCTCAGAGAAGCAAGAGCGAAGCACAGGAGCAGCCAGAAGCATTCAACCACCAGGCAGGACATCACCACAAGGGGCAACCACAAAATGCCAATGTTTTTTTCTGTGGACCCATCACAATGGAAGGCAACCCTGGAGCTGCCACAGTGGAGCTAGAACCACTTACAACCATCAGGACAGCTAGGAGTGACCCAGCCCCAGATGTGAGGGAAGCCAGCAGGCTGACAGATTGGTAGGAAAAACAACAGAAAGATGCTGACATCAAAAAACTGACATGGTGGAAGAAGCTCAATAGCAGGGATTTTCCTGAAGAAGGGTAACATCATCCTCACTTAAAGCAATACCAGGAAGTGTGGCCCGAACTAAGCATTAGGCAAGGAGTCCCAGTGTGAAAGCTTCCTGGGTCTGCCCAAAGACCTGAGTGCATCCAACTAGTGGTACCAGAGCAGGAGATACCAACAATCCTGCAAGCCCTGCATGCTTCCAATACCAGAGGACATTTGGGCATAGAGAAGGTCTCTCGTAAAGTCCAGGCCCAGTATTTCTGGTTAGGCTGAAGGCAATTTGTAGTGGACTGGTACAGATTGTGTGAGGTGTGTGGCATGCGCAAAGGGACAAGGAGTAACCCCAGGGCCCCCATGGTTTTCACACAGGATAAATGACCCCTGGAGAGAATAGCCATGGATATCCTGGGCCCCCTTCCCACTACACCAAGTGGAAACAAGTATATCTTATTAGTGGCTGACTATTTCTCCAAGTGGGCGGAAGCCTATCCTCTCCCTGATCAGGAGGCCCAGACAGTGGTGAAAATTTTAATCGAGAGATTTGTGTGCTACCATGGTACACCTTGATCCCTCCACACTGACCAGGGAGAAATTTTGAATCACAACTACTCCATCACATATATGACCTTTTGGAAATTAATAAAACCCGCACCACTCCCTATCACCCCCAGTCTGATGGACTAGTGGACTAGTCTGAGGTTTAACTGTACACTGGTTGACATGCTATGCTCTCTGATTAAGGATAACCAGATGACATGGGATGAGTTACTCCCATATGTCATGATGACCTACCGGAGCAATGTGCAGTCATCCATAGGGTACACACCATACATGGTGTTGTTTGGGTGGGAGATTTGTCTGCCTGTTGATGTTGTCTCTGGGACAAATGTATTGGAAGAATTCAGCATCCTTCTGAATACATTACAAAAGTGGCAGGATACCTCAGTTCAGTTAGCCATGCTGTCAAGACACATCAGGCTACAGCTACACAAAAGCAAAAAGAGCACTATGACCTTAGGGTGACTGGACAGGTGTACAAGCCAGGGGAGCTGGTGTGGGTACGGAGCCAAACGAGGAGGCAGGGTCAGTGCTGGAAGCTCTGCAAGAAGTTTAATGGCCACTATACAGTTGCCAAGAAATTGTCGGAGGTGCTATATGAGCTAGCGAACAGGACCAGCGAACAAACAGTAGTGCGCTATAGTCAGATGAAACCCTCTACGTGCACATGGAACAAAGACCCTGGCCCTACAAGGGAGCTAGGAAGGCCTTTTCATCAACAACCAAGATGCCTGCAACCAAGCCACTCCCAGAGGCCTGACTCTAACCCCTAGAATACTCAATATAAAGTAAATCCCTCATTGGCTATTGTGATTGTGCCTGACACTGCAGGGGTTTGTTACACTAGCATGCTGGTATAATGGTACACAGTGAGCATGTCTACATGTGCAATTAATGCACACAAATAAACTCTGGAGTTTTTTGCTCCCTGGCATGGTGTTTGAATGCATGCCCAGGAGCAGAAAACTCTAGAGCTTATTCATGTGCAGCACATTGAGCCCTGTCAGAGCAGCCCTGGTTGGCAGCAGCCCGGGGCTCAGTGTGCTGTGAGGGGCTGGCTGGAGCATGAGGATATTTCAGTATGAGGCTAGCTGGGAGGCAGCCCCCCCACTGAAGCACCCTCATGCCCCAGTCAGCTGGCAGCGTCTACACGTGTACTGGTTCGCACCAAAAAGCTCTGGAGCAAGCTAGTATTTACAAGTACTAACCTGCTCCAGAGTTTATTAGTTTTGTGCACCCTAATAGGGACTTATGCGTAGTCACAGAGACTTTTACTGTGAAGCTAATTAGGCATCTCCACAGCAAACATCTCATGTAGATGCATCCACTGATCTACTCCTCTCTTTCCAAGGTTAACTTCATGTAGAGGTGAAGCAACTTACACTGGTGAGAGACTGTGTGTTGTGTGTCCATTGCATTTTACTACAGAGTAAAGCAGATCTAGTCCACAATAATTATGTTGTGTGTCTTCACTCTTAACCAGTGTTGACACACCCATAGAAAAATCACTGCTAAAAGAACAGCAGGCTTGTAGGAATCAGCACTAACTATCTATCTCCATGATGAATGTAGCTGTTAAAGCAGGGTCTACTTGAAAAAAACCCCATAAAAGCAGCCTATGGCCTCAAAATATCCTAATTACCCTCTCCCATGGAAGAGGTGAAGATCAGGAAAGAAAGCTGCTTTTATCCTTTTGCAGTGGGCTGATCCCATGAAGTCAACAATTTGTAAGGCTCATGAAGCATCACTTGAAGTCTGTGAGAGGAGAATTTGGCCAGGAATTTTTAAGAGGGCCTTCGTTCTGGCTGGGTACTGCTTTGACACCAACATTTACATGGCCCTAAACATGCCTTGAAGATCAGGTGACTGAGGTGTGGAACAAGGGAAGACTGGTTAAGGCACTGGCTTATAAACCAGGTGCTTCTGACTCTGGCTTTCCTCAGCCTGATAAAGGGTATTTGTGCCTGAAAGCTTGCAAAGAAGATTTTTTCCAACTATTTGAGGTGGTCTAAGAAAAGATATCAGATTTACCCAAAGGACTTTGTCTGGCTCTGGCTGACCTTCTACGTGGCCTTGGACTAGTCACCTGGCATGGCAGTCTTTTCTTTCCTGGTCATACAAGTGGCCATTTTTTGGATGTGTAGAGGGAATTTTTGTTACTTCAATGTTCAGAGGTATTCCATTGTTCAACGTGTAGCCTTGCATGCCTGGATAACGACATAGTCCCGCCAACTGAGCATGCACAGTAGATGCCATAGACCTTTGTGCCCTTTGTGGACATGTGGTGGACTTAGACACCTGAAAATGGAGTTGTCCAGAACCTGTGAATACCAGACAGCCGCAGGAACAGAAAGGAGAAGAGCTACACATGTGTTCCTCTTCTGCTCCTATAGTTCAGTGGCTAGGGCACTCACCTAGGAGTCCAGAGACCCCAGTCCCCCTCACCCACAGAGGACTTAAACCAGAGCTTCTTTTGTTTCCCAGCACAGGACTCCAAACGCCACACCACAGGTGAGGCATTACTTACTCCTTGCTCTAGTGATCCTTTTTGAAGCTGAGCCAGTAATGTAATTCTTGAAAAAAATTGGAGGGCAGCGCAGGCTTTGGCTTCTGCCTCATTGGGAGCAAGGGGCCCAGCTACCCTTCTCCCCACCCCTTCCTTTCCATGCTAGCAGCTACCTTATGAAACCAACACCCTTTGGCTTGCCCTTGTACCCTGTATTTCCTATATAGCTCCTTCTTGTGATTGCCCACAGGATGAGTTTCAGAAGGCACACCAGACACTTGTGCTGGGGTGATTAGAGCACTGTGTGAGGAAGTCAGAGAGCTCCAGGTTTAAGCCCACTCCAGCTCCCCCATTTCTACCCCTTCCCCCTCCCCACCTGCCAGCTGTGTGCCTAGAAACAGAAGCCCCCTGGATGTATAAGTATAAAAAATGGCCATTTAGATGACTACAAAACAAAAGAATGCTATTCTTAATTTCTGTTTCCAGTCTGTAAAAGGATGCTGAACCTTACCTACTGGAGAGCTGTGGTGACAGCAAATGCATTAGGGGCTGTGATGCATTGCAGCAATGGGGCTATGTGAGCTTACAAATAGGCAGGTCGAGCTCCCAGTTTTACAGCTGACGTTTAGCTAGAAACAGTTTTCTGCAGTTTGGGCCAACAGGGCAGCAGTATGCTGGGTTCCCTGGGGAAAGTTGTTTGGATAAGGCAAACCTAGGAACTTAAAGCCAAATTCTGCTCACAGGTTGGACTTAATTCACCTCATGCTAAGCTAACCCCCCTGTTTCTCTGTAGATGTCAGTGGAGGTACTTTATGAAATATGAAAATAGAATCAGATCTAGTGATTTCAACTGGAGTATGAGGGCAGGATTTGACTCTAATTAATTCTGCATTAAACTGGAGTATAGATTGAGCAGGAAATGGGATGAAATACTTGTAAGTTTGAACTACAAAAATTACCGTGCTTAGGTGAGACACATTTGCCAACTGCAGTCCATGGCACCAGGTTTCTGGCTGCATCTTCACCTTCTATAGCCAATCAGTAGGTTTCCTAGCCTGGGCTCTGTCTTTCAGAGTCAGAGCCAGCTCTATACAAGGCTTTCCTCGAGAGCTCTTGGAAGTGAATGCCTCTCAGCCTGGCTTATGAAATTTGTGCCTGATTTAAAATTGCAACTCACTGTTAAAGTGAAACTAAACAGTAAGCTGGAAGCTTGAGAGTGATGTCACTCATGCAGTGGCAGAAGTCAAGCTTTTAGGCTCCTGTGTGTAAAACTGATTTGTTCCCCAGACCACAGGTGTATAAATGGCATCTTTCACTAAAACTTGTTCTCTGCACTCCAAAATGGAAAGTTTATAGTAGCTTTTATGGCAAATGCCCCTATGAAACCTTACCTCCAGAGGATGCTGTGTACATCCTCACAGCTGGAGGCTGATGGTGAGGCTGGGGGGACAGCAAAGGGGTAGAACAAGAATCAGTAACAAATGGCCTGCATGCTGGAGTTGGCCCATGGGGTCATTAGATCCAGTGCATGGAGCAAGAGGACTTTGGTGGCATGGAGCTTTGCTGACTCTGCAGCCAGGCACTGGTGGGGAGTGGAAGCAGCATTGGCAGTGACTGGGGTCAGAGATGCTGGTTAGGGCTGCGCAAAGCTTCGGGTACTGATTCAATTCAGAGGTGATTCGGCTCAATTTGGAGACTGAATCTCCAAATTCAAATTGGATCAGGAGACCAGTTAAAAAGGTCTGAATTGATTTGAAGCTCTCTGAATTGATTCGGAAAAGATTCAGAGAGCTTTGGCGATTCGGGCAGTCCCTGCTTGCTGCAGCAGGGAGCTGGACCCGGACTCCATGTTGGTAAGTGTGGGG